TCAGCTGTCACTCATCTTCTGTATGTATTCCATCTCCTGAACAAGCAGCTTTCATGTTCCAAACAGAGTTAGTAAAATCCAGACAGTTCAGGAGATACAAAGACACACCTTTCGTGGGAAATTGTGCTGGAAATACTTCTCACTTTCTCTTTAGATGAAGGAAACTTTCTTTCTTCTTTCTGTTTAATGAGCGTGAGGGTAAATATGGTTGCTGTACAAAGTGAAGAGGTAGATTCATCTGCATTGGAAAAAGTTCCTTGCATTTTTCAGATGTAATGAAGCATGAGCTAAATTCAGGCATGTTCTGCTTGTGCCCATGCAAAATGCTGCAGTCAGCACTGACACTGGTGCGTGTGCAAGCTTGCAGCGTTTGACTTCCTTGGAGCTTATTTCTGATGGAGGTGAGTATCCATGTTTTGTTTTATGTATGTGCTATCAAGAAATGAGTGGTGCACAGAGGTCAGTTTTTGATATCAGCATCAAGCAAAATGAGTGCAGTGGGTGCCGAGCTTCAGGTAGCATTGCATGGAGCAGCACACTGCTTGCTGTTAATGGCAGGGGCTGAGGATTGCAGTCTTGTGGAGAAACAGAGGTGTTTTGTGAGTGTTTGCTGTAAGAGTACACTGAGGGCGCCCTTCTGGTCAGTGTGTTTATTATGTGAGGGGAAGATCAGAAGGTGCACACAGGAAGAGGGGTTGGGAGCAAAGCTTCAGAAGGATCCCCAAAGGTGAGCTCAGATTACATGTGTGCTTGGAGCAAATTTCTGTGCTGCTGCCATGGACCTCCCAAGGAAGCAGAAGTCATATTGATGTCCTGTACACACGTGCTTGGTGTTTCCTAAGCAATCTTAGCAGATGGATATTTACTGAACAGAAAATAGAAGATGTTATTGATCTTTATTGCAGACTGGCACAAAAACATCTACCTGTGCTGGTAGCTGGTGTGCCACACTAATATCAGTGTGCTTGTCCTTAGGACTTCATTTGCAGTCTGCTATCTCGTCACCTTAAAAGTCTTTTGCCAGAATAAAATAATGTCCATCTTCATTTAAACCATCCTTATCAGAATGATGTTTGGATTGATCAGCAGCTCTCTGGCTGGGTACCAGTTTCCCGATGGTCGTTTCTGTGTCACCATATTCGGGCTCTCTATAAATAAAGCAAATACATTGCTTATATCATCATCAGATAGTGTTAATATGCCTAAAGGTTGTTACTTTTCAGCATTAATTAGTATTTGTAGTTTCTAAAACCCTGCAACCTTCCTCAAGCACCTTCAGAAGCAAGATGTCATTTATGTTGCGTTTGGTTCTGTGCACCCTGCTGCTAATTCCTTTTTGATGTTCTGAGTCATTTTTCCAGTGGGGAGCTTTGCAGATCCAAAACAGGCATGAAGTTTTTCAGATAAAACATTTTAATTACTTGCAAATTAGCTTTAATTCTTTTGTGTATGTTTTGCAAACTGGGAATATTCCGAACCATGCAGTCTTTGCTGACGTAATGCTGCTGCGATCAGTTTGTCCTGTCCGTGTAACTTCTGCCTATTTCCTAATAATTTATAATAATGTTAATGGCTTATAAGCAAGTAAACCTTTGGGAGGTGACCTTTTACTCTCTGCTGCATTTCTTGTCTTCAGGAAGTAAGAGCAGTTTCACTAATTGATTGTTTCAGTCATGTTGTATAATTGCTTTTAATTCATTTCCGCTGTTGCCTGCTCTGCCAGTAATCTCACTGTAATAAACAAGATGGAGCTCTACCTGTTGTAAAATACCTCTGGATAAGTGAAGTTTGCGTTTCTTAGCAGAGACACGCTGTGACTTCAGTTATTTGATCCTGATTCTTTAGTTCTGACATTTTGTCAGCAAAAGACTGAGGCACAGACGTGTGCTTGGCCAGGTCCTGTAAAGCAAACAACGTGGCAAGCCAGGAGCAGAACACCAGCTTCTGTGTCTCCATCAAGTGCTGCAGGCACTGAACCACGCAGTTTCCTGGCTCTTGAGGAAAAAGCAGTAAATGTTTCATACATTTATTCAGGGGAATGAGACAGGTTCTTTGTGTGTTTAGATGTTGTTAATATTCTTTACCCGGTTTTGTTAGGACTTCTGCTTTTATGGGAGGTGATATCTTTTGTTACAATCTGATGTGGGTAGGTTTTTGGGTTGTTTTTTTTTTTCCTCTTACTGATTTCTGAAATGACCTGTTACAAATCTTAAGGGTTTTCAGTGCTTGTCTCAAATCTATGTTAAGATTTTATTTCTTCCTTTCCTTGCTTTTGACAGCAGTAAATTGCAGCAGCAATTAATATTTTGGTTTTGACACTAAGGCAGCCAACACAGCATAGTATCTTGTTGTAAACACAAAGCTGCTAAGTAAGTACATACAAGTGATTAGGAAGGGGAAACAAAGGCAGCTCGCTCACTGCTTCCTACCAATGGAAGGGTATTTGGCTTTCATCCTTGACTCTCCAAAACCAAAGCAAACTCATAGCTTGGGGTCACCAAGCTAATTCTGTTCCCTTTGTGTGGTCTGTATATCCACAGCTTTCAGACTAAATCCTGCACTGCCAGCAGGTTTGTTAACAGAAGAAGGAAGAAAATGTAAGCAGTTATTCTGCAGAAGGGAAGAGAGAATGCAGTTGCTGCAGTAGGAATTGCCCTTGACACACTGATTTATAAGAGTTGACACAAAGGACCTTCTCCCTACTGTCTTATGTTTCAGCTGCTTGGATGGATGTGCCTTTTGGTTCCTGAATGGAAGAACAGATCTCTTTCAGAGCAGTGCAAAGTCCCAGAGAGAAGGAGGAGGCCTGGCTGCAGTCCATGCCCACATGGTCCTTTTCTCCACTATTTTATGGTGCCTTCAGCATACAGCAATGTCTGCTGCCATGTACTATCTTACACTGACAAAACCCACCTCCTATAAAGTGCTTACCATTAATTGTAGCCTCTCGATCTATAAAATGGGCTTAGTGGCCTTTGTGATGTTGTAGAAGATACACAGGTAGGTCCAGGCAAACTCTGGGAACGAATTTAATGGGTGGTTTTTCTCTGGAATGGCATTCTCACCACCATGTTGTTATGGCCAGGTGGGTGAAATAGGGCTGTTAGAATCACTCAGTTGGATGGGTACATGAAGGGCCTTGTTCTTTTTGGGAGTCAGCTGATGGGCTTTGGAAGCTCTGTGTTCAGTGTAGTCACCAGAGCAATGTCACTGTCAGAGAATCCTCCTGATGAGTGTGAACACCATGGTCTGGGAAGGTTTCCTGGTGCTCATGTGTGAATGGTACATTATCCAGGTCCTTACAATGTTAGAAGCTGTTGCTGGTGTTGGCTTTCAGAGGCAGCTGGTGCCAGAGGCTGTGTGCAGTGAGGCGGTCTCTGAAGTGTCTGCAGACATGTAAGCACTGACCTGCTGCTCATAAAGCCCAGGGCTGGGGATTACAGCCTCTGTGCTCTCCTGAGAGCTGCAAGGTTTCCTTTCAAAACCACCCACAGGTCCAATAAATCACAGGGAGACTCTTCTGTAAGCATGCATTAAGGATGCCCTTTGAATAATGGTAAATTTGGGGTTTTAGCTCTTCACAACTGCAGTTTGTGTCAACTGCACCTCTTCTCTTTAACACAAACGTATGTGATAAAGAGGTACTGTGTAAACATAGGGTATATTCCCTCCTAACAGCTGAGTAATAGTCAGTAATGATTATTTCAAAAATGTACTTGTTCAGGTCTCTTCTTTTATCTACGTGCTGTACCTGTATTTTTATCATTAAGTGCCTTTGGTACGGTTTCATATATCCTTTTAACCATCTGTTATATCTTAAGTAATTCTATGTTTTTTCTGCTCTGAAACACAAAAACCAGCTCAGGTTGTTGCCCAGGCTGCTATTCTGTGATCAATGTTAATGTGATCTGAAATTAATGAAATATGCAATGCTGGCGTATGTCAGTTGTTTTTTCTTTTGGCTTTGCTGTTGGGATGATTTCTATTTCAGTAGGGTGTAAAGTGAGCAATTTGGAACTGTTGCTCAAATGTGGTTTGAATTGTATGCAAATACTTGTTTGTTCACATCTTCATCCTCCCTTCCTGCTCCCTCTGCTCCCCCCCCTGAAAAACAAATCAATTTAAAGGCCACTGGCATGTTCTCCCTTGTACCTGTTTTTTCCTGTTTTTAATGACCAGGATGTTTCAGATGATATTCATGAGGTTCCTTGATGCAGAAGCAGAGTTAATGGCTGTTTGGCCAAAAAGAAGCCAGAAAACAGTGGGGCTGAATGAACATAATGGTGGTTCTGGATGGTACCAGGAGTTCTGCTGCTGGTTTCAGTGGTGCTCAGCTCTCTCTATTACAGCATTTTGTGTTTAAATACCAACATCAAACTGATTTTTTACTGACTTTTTTTCCCCTCTATGCTTCTGTCCAGAGGCCTAAGTGCAGAAGTATTGGCCTTTGCCCATTGTAATAGCATAAGAAAAAGGCCTGAGCTTTGTGGGTTGCAGACAGCACATGTGGCCATGTGGTTACAAGCTTTTTTTTTTTCACCTTTGCAATTTCATTGTGCTAAAGGAATAAATAAATTATTGCCATTTGGCTGCTGCGTTTTGACTTCTTAGGTATGATAATAGTTCTTGTGGTCATTTGTTATAGAGAAAGCTGCTGTGACTTTGACAAGTTGTTCAGCATTGTTGCACAGCAATTAACAAAGTAACTGTGTTTATTAGAGATTGCACTGACAAGTATGTGATCTAAGGGCTTGTGCCTTGCTAAATTGAACCTAGGTGGCAACAACAATGTGTCTAGACACAAGGAATGACTGTACTTAAAACGCCCAAATTGTCGTGGCAATTAAGGTATGAAACCACACCACAAACTGTGTCACAATTACCCTCGGCAGTGGGCTTTTCATCCTTAAATTATCAGGAATGTGTTTGTGTTTTAACAGTCGTTTCGGGGGACCCTCAAATTGAATGGTAACACGGATTGTTTGGCACTTTGCACACAGGGCTGAAAAGCTGCAGTTGCTGAACCACAGGCCTGTGACAGCAGTTGAAATACAGCTGGTAAGTAACAATGCTCCTGACTGTTCAGAGCTTAAATGGAAGCAGCTTTAACCTTGAAGATCAGTTGAGTAATTACTTTCTCATGGTCGGTGATTGAATACATCCCTTTATATGCTTCTTTGCATTCATGGTTCCTAATCCCCTCCGCTTCCTCTGGGAGTCTTCCCATAGAGACTCGCCCATCTTTCTCTTGGACAGATTCTCCACCCCTATGTTTGCTTCAGTGTCATATTGAAAATGCCCAACAGAATCATTAACAGTTGATTACAGTGCTGTAAGACTGTATTTACCCAAGTCTTCGTTGCTGCTCTATAATCAGGGACTTTGCTTCTTGACATGTCGTGACACGATTGCTTTTATGACAGGGTTTTATCTTAGGGTAAAACCAAGCACACTAAAAAGGAAGGAGCAATGATGGATATGGTATCTGAGCAGTTGTGCAGAATGAGAAATGGGTATGAGACAACCTTTGAATGGAAAGTAGCTATCATCAGTCTGTTAAGCATGATTCGGTTGTAAAGAAGGATTGCTGCTAAGTGGAAATAGATGGACTGTGTTCTCTGAAGTGTCTCTTTGGGGGATGCAAAATCTCATCATAAAGAAATTATTATGATAAAGATATTTTAATAAAGATCTCTTACATTCAGAACATCTGCTTATAATCATATCCTGAAACCAATTACGTGGTAACAGGATCATATTTTGCTGAAAAAAAGGGAAGGTTTGAAGAGATACCAGCAGGGCTGTGTTTCTTTTGTACCATGGAGCAGACACTGCAGTGCTGAGGGCATCTCATTCCACAATGCTTCCAGTGAAGGAATTCATTCTGCTTTCTGTTACTGAAGAGATCAGTGTCAGTCTTGTCATCAACCCAACCAAGAGTGTCAGACCTTCCTGAGTTGTGCCTAGGAAGTTGTTTGTAAGCAGTGGCGTTGAGCCTCTCTCGTAGCTCTGTTCACTTCACGTGCTTTAGACGTGGATCCATTTTATGGCTGTCTAGGCAGTATCCTGTCTCTTTTTTTTGTTTTGTTTTGTTTTTGGCCTTCCTGAAATGCAGTGATCTTTTAGTGGCTTGCAGGTACCTGCATTTTTGTCCCTTTTTCCTCCTGCCTTCAGTTCCCAATTCTTACCTATCAGTGAGGTATAGAAATTAGCGTTGCTGTTGAAGTCCAGGAGGGAAGCACAAAAAAATGGAGCTTTGTAGTAGAGGAAATATATAAAGAGAGGCCAAGCTCATTGCTAAAGCTTACAGAATATAGATGTAAGGGATTGGAGTTCAATTTGAGTTTGTTCCTGATGTGTAACCATTCTCAGATGATCAAAAGTAACTTGTGGAAACTGTCATATGGGTGCATTTGGGCACTGATCTGAGTTTGTAAAGGCACAGAGGTGTTGGAAAAGCAGTTACTTCTGTTACATTACTGTACCCCTGTAATTTCCAGTGCAGGTTTCTCTAAAAACTAGGATTACAGTAGACTAGATCGACTGGTTAACACTATGTTAAATTATCCCCCAAATTGCAGTTCATAACTCTTTCATCAAAGCCCATCAGAGTCTTTTGAGCACAAAATAACTGCTAGGAAGCTGCAAGGCACTGAGCCTAGCAGCCATAGCAAGGAAATGATTGTGACTTTGGATTGCTACAATGAATCATTTGTTTTCTGGTGAGGACAGAGGAAAGAAATTGTGGCAGTGCAATGTCTTTGAACGTAGAAAACCTCTGTTCTCAGAGCATCTTTGAACATGTGGTAACAGCGAGCTGTGGAGGCTTACCAGCACTGTTCTTTGATGTCAGCAGGGAGCAGATTACCCATGCTTGGATTTCATGCTGGCAAGTGGATTCACTGCGATCGATGGATGAGACAGCATGCAGAGCTGTGAATGCCAGGTGTAAAATTGATTCTCTCCTCACTGAACCAGGCCCTGTCACTCAAGAGCCTGGAGCCCCTCGCTGGATATAAAACCAGAAATTTCTGACCATTTCGTACAGTGGAGGCAAATCCATTTGTTTTTCTCTAAAGCCAGTTTTCAAATACCAAATAAGCCACATTCCTGTCACTCCATTCCCCATCCCCATCGCTCCATTGCTGCCTCAAACTTGTGTTCGTGGTTGCCTGTCCATGGAATGGAGTCAGATTTACCTGACGTGCTTTTAACAGCTGATGGGAGAGGATAGTTATGTTAGCAAGAAAATTTGTTAAGATGTTTTGCTGTCGAGTTCTTTCATAATTCTTTTTACATAAATTGCTGCATTGTTCCTATTTGCTTCTTCTGGCCTGCGTGCCAGGATTTATTTCCAAACAACAATAGCAAGAAAAGGAGCATGAAATTCTAATTCGTATCCCACTGGGTAAAACACTGTACACATCACAGCTATCTTGACCTCCTGCTTTAATCTATAACATATGTTGTTCCTGGCTCAGTGATTCACAGAGGAGAAGAAAAGCTGGTGGTGTTGATCTAACCATGACACTTAATGGGTTTGTAGATTAAGCATCTTCTAATGACCAAATTGCTCCACATTCTTCTCTCTCAATGGAAAAATGGACTTTAATTCTGTGCCTTTTAAAACAAGTTTTCCATCTTGGAGAGGTTTGTACCTCTTGATGTCAGACTGGTTACACAGGGCACACACGATTGTCTTTTATTATTTAACAGGAAATAATAATGCAATGTACTCTGCTGGAGAATGGAAGATGTTAGAGAATTGAGACAGTTCATTTTCTCAACAATATCTTTTGCTTCCCACTTTGCATAGTTGGTCAGTTATCTCTGAGGAGCATTGGTTCAACCATTCACTCTTTTACCTCTTTTTTATGTTCTTTTTTCTGTTACCATGTTGGTGCTGAACTACTTGGAACTACTGCTAAGGTAGAAAATAGCAGCCACTTTCTCATAAAGTCATACCTTCTGTACCAGAGGGGAATTATGTGCTTGATAGCTTTGAAAGTGATTAGATTCCTGTTTCCTTTTTAGTTATGGTTTCCTGATTTGTGAGTTTTTAAATAGAATTCTTAGGTTATTATTCAAATAAAAATAGCTTTTAACCCAAAGGCTGTTCTGTTGAGCACGGCTAAGTTTTGTTACCTATCAAATATTGCTTATCTTGGGAGATTCTCTGTTCTTCCAGAACTTTCTTAGAGTCCTTTGGTGTGTGCCTCTACTCATTCTCCAGTATTTGCAGCACATTGCCTTATCCTGGGAGGCTGAAGGAAGGAGACCTGCATTTGAAAGCTTCAAATAAGCACAGTGAGGATGGGGTTTCTTATAGGTTGACGTTACTTTGGTTAGCAGAAAAGATGAGGTGCAATTATAGTTAGTGATAGCACGTCCCTAAGATGTTTGATAGAGAGTAAATGTTTGATAAATAAATCTATACAAGTATGTGGACGTCTGTGTCCTTACTGTGTGCTCATACGTGCACATGAGAGCAAAGATTTTCGTTCTGATGTTTATGTTCTGAACAGCAAAGCCATCGCTGATGTCTGGAATTGCCTCGATAGTTAGGGGTTATTTTCTGGTTTCTGTAAAACCTTTTGCAGTTCACTTCTTGCCACGAGGCCTTAGCAGCACGTTGCGACGGGGCTCAGCGCCTTAATTTGATTCTGTTAGTCTTCTGATTTGGAAACTGAGGTTGTTTTGTGCCTCTGAGAAATTTATACATAGTACTGGATTAAAAAAAAAAAGAAAAAGAAGAAAAGAAAACTACTATGAAACTGTGCAGCTGGGAAAGGCTGCATGGTAGTAAAATATCCCACATACGCGTTTGTTTAATGAATGCAGCTCTGGTTCCCAGTAGCGGTTACAATGCTGAGAGAGGCATCTGCCACAGCTTAATTCTGCAGCTGATGAATGATTTGCCTTTCCATTCTCTCGTAACAGGAGTCGAGTGATGGATGATGAGCGCGCGTTTTGTTTTGCTGCACAGGAAATCTGTGCACGCAGATGTGTGTGGGGAAGAAGAATGGAATTGGTGGGTAGTGAGAGATGCTGCGATGGGCTCTCAGAAAGCCCAGTCTGTGGGAGAAGAGTTTGGTAGAGTTTGATACTGACGGCTCATGGATGCTCGGGGGGGTGGAAGATGAAGCAGGGGTGGTTGCTCTCTTTTGGTTGTGCTTTCCATTTAGTAAACATTTGCCTGTTTTTGAGCAGTTGAGCTTCAAGTCCTCGTAAATCTGTTGGGCCTCTCAGGCACTTGAAACCAATCTGAAAGCTGTGGCTTACTGAGGTGCTTTGAGCAGGAGAAGTACTGAGGAATAGGCTTCTAAGTAAAGATAGCAGCACGCAGAGCTGAGCAGTACAGCAGCTTCAGCTGTTACCAGGAATTTGTATATATTCCTCAGTCCTGACACATTTTTAATAACAAAGTAAGAAATGTAACTTCAGGTGCTCAGGGTTGAAAAGCACCCACTACCTGCAGGGTGCATGTGCTTCCATTTATTTGATCAGTAAGCATTTTGTACCAATTACATTACCACATGCCCTTGTTCCCTTCTTTGGTCTTATACATCATATTGGTTAGAGTGTTAGCTGAGGGAAGATGAAAATTTTTTACTGCATGATGAGATTGCAATTAGAATGAACTGTTACAGACACTGAAGTTACTATTGAAGCCTGAGTTGAACTTAACCACACAGTTGCATTTCATACCAAATTCGTACTGTATGTATTTACAGTTAGGGTTGATAGGCTATAATATTTGCTAAAACAGCCTACACTTGTTATTTTGGAGTAGCATAAACTTGAATGCTGAAGGAGTGATGACATGGGATTTATTTATGACAAGAAGCAGCACAGATAATGTGGCCAACTGCCTTTCTCTTGTGTTCGTGTCAAGAAAAGTTTGTTCTCAGCCCTCTGGAAGGACATGCTTGTCTTGCTGCACATGAGGATGCTTTTGTCTATAAACTGTGGCACTGTAACATTGCCCAATGCTGTTAGTTGTCTGAATATCAAGAATCCAGTGTTTCAGTAGATTTGAATTCAGAGCTTTGGGGATGATCCTCCACCGTTTCACGTGGCACCATTTCCATTTGCCTTGTGTGGCACTGCCAACATAAACGTCTTACATCACCCACTTACTAAAAACATTTGCATTTTTGTTTTCCCTAGTATAAACTTTGCATTCCTGACTGCTTACAGTCTGAATCTGTTGCTTGAGCAGTTTCAGGCAATTGCAGGCTGGAAGTTAGCAGGGCTTTTTCATGCATATTTTTTCCTGTATTGGTAAAATTCGTGCTGAAAAGTCAGATGTTGAGCACTGCTGTTCCTTTTTTCTCCTCTTCTGCTTTCCCTCGTGCATGTTTTCTCTTCTGAGTATCATAACCTTATTTCCTTGTCCTTTCCATAGCAAAGGTATCATGGTTATGAATCAGTGAACATTGCAAACATCTGTTGAATCTGAGTCACCTTCTGCTTCCCCTGTGATTTCTGGTTTCCTTTAGAGCAGTTTCATTTGTCTCTTTGTCTGCACACTCTCTGTGCTTGACTTTTGGGTTTTTCTCTTTGGCATGCTGCTTTGCTGCTTCTTTATTGCTTGTGTTTTCCTAACTCTCATGCTGTTTCTCTGGAAGAATTGATTTTTATAGCTGGTGCTTTTGATCTTTTGTACTTTTGAGTAGCATCACAGCCAAATAGCTCTGAAATATCAGCACTGTGTCCATCCTGCCAAAACACAGACCTTTATCAGTAGTTGCTGGTGTAAGAGCTGGCAGTAAGGATGCACGGAGCTCAGGCACCGAGAGATGAGCCTGCAGTGAATTTGCTGCAGCAACTGAAGGAATTACCTCTTCCCTCTGACAGATGCTACAGATCTGTCAACAGAAGGGAATTTGGAGATGCATCACCTCCAGCATCTTATTTTGAAGGAGTTTTTTTTTGAGCAGTTCAATCTGAGACATCAGTTACAGCACCAATGCATTTTGGAACACGGGAGGCTAATCTCTTCATCAACTTTCTGCGAGGGTGTGATTTCTTAAGCTGCCAGCACAGCCACCAGAGCTCATCAGTCAGTGTCCCGAGCAGCATCTGAGTCCTGCAGTCTTGTGTTCAGCCAGTTCAAATGACACTGACATGGGTGTTCATAGTAAGAGCTGGGGGGTTACTCTTCAGCGCTCAGCAGCATGTAAGAAACAGTGATCAGACTTGTAAGTATGATTTGTCATCAGTGCCAAAGTTGAGAAGGGTTGCTGCTGGTCTGGCAGTCGCTGTTATTATTAAAGTTCTGATCAGGGCCTTGTGTTTAACTTGAGTTGTTAAGTACCTAAAGGTTCAGGAAGTGTCTGCCTGGAGAGGTGGTGGATGCCTCACCTGTGGAGACACTCATGGTCAGGCTGGAGGGGCTGTGAGCACTGATGGGGCTGTGGATGTCTGTGTGCACTGCAGGGAGTGGGACCAGATGGCCTTTAGGAATCCCTTCCAACTGATCTGATGATTCTCTGGTTCTGTAAGAAGTGTATGGCAAAGAAAGGGAATGGAGATAAACCAGGGAGGGATAAAACTTAAATAGGGCTTAAGAGGGACAGACTTCAAATGACCCAATAAGTCAGATCTAACTCAGGCGAGGTGCCAGCTTTCTGAAGATCTGGAAGCAATAACAAGTGCAGGAGACATTGGCCTGAGAGTTGAATCATCCTTAGGCAATTTTACCTGTCTCAAAGATGTCCATGGAGATTTTCAAGAACTGTGGAGATGTGGCACTGAGGGACCTGATTGGAGGTATGGTGGGGGTGGGTTGGGAATCTTAGTGGTCTTCCCAACCTTAATGTTTCTGTGATGTGGGCTTTTTCTTTGTTAGCTTTGTTCAGTTCCTGCTGCTGTGGTGCTGTCACCTTCAAAGCTGAATGCAGCAGTCATTAATAACACTACAGTAATAATCCTATCCAAAAAGCAGTTCACAGCCCTCTACAAAACTGAGCAGCATAGATCTGGGGAGTAATGGCTGTGTCAGCAGAATTGGCAACAAAGACTGTATTTATGCACTGCAACGCATTTTGTTGTGTAGTGTTGATGCTCCAAGGTATTCCAGTTAACCTGCCCACATGATCAACTCTGAGAAGCAGCCCTGAAGGCCATTATCTGGTACCACTTCAATAGCTGCAACAGTTGCTTACACAGAAGGGTAATGCTAGGAGTGTTCTTAGCATATCTTAACTTGTAATATATACTGTGACAGCTGACAGGAATGAGAGCCAAAGCTATTTTTCAAGCCAGGCTCCTACAACAGTTCTGAGCTAACCATGGTTTGAAAGCCACTCCATAGGGGATTTCAGCCTTTGATCAGCACAGCTCCCAGAAAGTCATCTGCAAATGGATATTTGTCTGCCTTTTGCTACATGAGTGGATTGCAGCCTGCTTGCTTTCCTCTCATCAAGGGGCTGTGGGTAATGGCTGCTGGAAGATGACCCGATTGTGCAGAGAGGACTCACAGGGCATGTCACAGGACATGGAGAGGAGGGGGGAAGGTAATTGAATATACTCTGGTTTTTTTTAGAAGGCAAGATGCATCTGAATGGCTGATAATTTGCAGCTAGAAATGATTAAACTACATTGACTCGGAACCATAATTAATATAAATCACCGCGCTTCAAAGGACATTTTAAAGGACTTTGCATAAAAGAAGCAAATCTCAAATCCCTCAGTCCTAATTGGTTTCATTTGCGTTTGAAGAGTTCATTTGGCTCATGCCTGCAGTCCTCTGACAAGCTTTTCCTTTTAGCAGCTGCCTATAAATTAGGGCAGTTGTTTTTACTGGTAGCAGCGATATGAGAGTTCCTGCAGCTCTGCAGTGAGAGTAGGTCCCTAATTAATCTTATAGAACTTTATTGGTGATTCATGACAGCACGTTTTGTGTTGCTCAGAGCTTTTATACGTTTTCATACTCCGGAAATTCACAATCAAAATAAGTTCTAAGAACATGTGGCTGCTCCAGGTTGTGGTGTGATTGCTTTCCTTCAAGGTGCTGGATGAGATACCCAGATTCAGGTAAGCAGTCTCATGTTATCTCATTTCACTTATCACAAGAACACACGGTTTTGCCCAGGAACTTTGGAAATGAGGTCTGGAAGGCAGCTCTGCAGACGGGCTAATGAAAGGCCTGGGTCAAAATGGAGATGAATGGGTTGGGAAAGGTTTAAGGAGAAAATGGGGAGTGAAGGTTGTGTTGAGTGTGCTGCTTTCCTTGTTTTGGAGAAAGCAGGGTCTCATTATGGAGTGCTTGTCCTGGTTAACAGTGGAGCTCTTCATTCTTCTGAAAATTCCAAGAGTTCCACTTTGTTGGAGCTCATTACAAAAGCGCTCTACAATGTCTTTCATCCATTGAAAATAGTGTTTCCCAATTAGTTTAGTCCTTTGGTTTGGAGCTGAGGGCAGAAGTATGGGTTTAATGACTCCAGTGGATTGTTTTTGGCCTGCAGATGGTAGAAGAAAGCGAGGAAAGGCTGACAGAGGAGCAGATCGAGTCGCTTCTCCAGACAGTCGCCAGCATTCTTCCAGGGGATCCAGAAGAACAGCAGAGGGACTCAGCGATGGAAACTGAAGGCAGAGGTGGCCAATAGCAGGAGGCATCTAGACCAAAGCCAGCAGCAATTTCAGCAAAGGAGAATTGGTTAATCTTTTCCTGTTTTTACTTGATACCAGTTTCAGCTTGTATTGGGCATCGTTGTAGAATCTATTAAATGTTTCTATTACTCAGAGGTGATGAGGGAACCCGTTGTTTACCAGAAGGCATGGAAGAGGAGACTGTTGTTCCAGCATATTGTCTTGTACAGGGGTGATAGGGACTGACTTCATAATGTAGCAGACAAATTACAGGGCACAAAATGGGAAGCTTTTGTATTTTTTACATTACCCGTGTAACAGCTGTACATTTGAGTAGGCTAATATACAGCTGGCAATGTTTTAATTATCACAGCAGTACTATAATTGTAATTGCTTTCAGATGATGTTGAATTGCCCAACTGCTTTTCAGAATGTGATTTACAATCCAAAGCCAGCTTTTGGAGCTGTTAGGGAATAGGGCTGCTGTCAGAGATCTGTGCGTGGAGTAACATACAGAAACTGCTTGGTGTCTGTTTGGAACACACAAAGTAGGCTGATGGCATCACGGAATGAGAGGATCTGTAGGTTGGACAGCTGTTCTCAGGGATGTTGGACAATCTGCAGATGAGTGGTAGATGCAGATGATCAGCTAAATGAATGCATTGCCCTCAGCATGGCTGGATTGGACCAGTTTTGCAGCAGCTGAGGCTCTGGACTGTAATGCTAAGGCTCTTAGTAATACAAACAAAAGGACAGTTAAGAGTGGGGTCTGCATTTTCCTTTTGAGTGTTTGTTCCAGTATTTATGTATAAGCAAGTCCCATCCTGTGCACGTGCTTTGACCGTGGAATAAATGAATGAGTCAACACTGAAGTCCTAATCTGGTTTCTAAGAACGAAAATCAGTCGTGTCTGGAGGAGGATTTTCTGTGTACTGAGCTTTGTCTGATTGAAGATTTCAGGAACAAGTATTAAACACTGAAATCATTGATGATTATAAGAAACCTTTTGTAGATATGCAGTCATGAGTTGCACCCGGCGCTGGTTTTGTACCTCAGACCATTCTTCTGTGATTGTTACAATGAACTGGAAAAAGAAATAAAGTTTGAAGCACATCCTGGGATATTTTTGGCCTGAAGGTCCAAGAGCTTGAATCAAATTATCTGCCTTTTACACCCACTTCTGTCATGGTTTTATTTGGTGATCCTAAGTGAGGAATTTACCCTCTTTAAGCCTTAAGGAAGGGGAGTGATACCTGCTGCTGTTTGCAGGACTTTTGATACGTGGTATTTTAAGCTGCCTTGATGTTTGGAGAGGAAAGGAAGGTATTGGAAAATATATGTATTACCTCCTAAATGTGATTTATCTTACATTAAAGGCTTCCCAAGACTGGAGCCTGATGGTACACTTCGACTGGGAATGTTAAGTGCAGTACTAGGGGGAAAAGACCACAGTACTTTTTTGTGATAAATTGATGTCTGTATTTTCTCCCTAAATGTGCAAATGAACCAAAAGAGATGAACAGACCGTATCACAGAATTATGTGAAATTAAATTTAAAATCAGCATTTTTACTTCTAGCTATCATTAACGTCTGATGCTCCGTGGCCTTGGGCTGCATTACATTTTTATCTGCACTCTTTCTCAAATTAAGTTGTCGAAGCATTTTCTAAACTTAGGAGAAGCAGTTGGGACCAGATTGAAAGTATCTTTAGCCAGCAGGAATGTTTTGACGGATCTATTAATAAGGATATTCCATCTTGGAAGTTGCTGATTGTACAGGTGAAGAATTGCTTTCTCTCTCTGAATGGTTCTCATGATGTGGTTCTCATTCTCAGATGCTTTCTTTGGAATCCCCAGACTCAGAAATGGTTAATGGAAAGCAAATGTCATCTTGTTTATGTGATTCCATTTTTCCACTGTCCTATACATTACTTACAAGATCTGCCTGTCTTCCAGGGCTGCTTTCTGTTTTCATAACTAATGAGTTTCCCAACGCCATCAGTGTGATCTGTTAGTTCTCTCGGAGGCATGACAGTGTGGAAGGAGCAGCGCAGTGATGTGTCAAGTGTACGTGAAAATGTAAGTAGACTTAGCAGTTCAGTTGGTAATTTTGGGAACAGAAGTACAGATTGCGCTCTATTTTCTGAATATTGAAGCACGTGTTTTTCAGACTGCTCGTTTCTTGTGTGTTCCACATGTTTGTTCTGTATTCAGCATTTGAGTGTTGGCTGATGGACAGCTCTGGGTGCAGCAGTGCTCTGCTCCGTGAGCTTCTCCAGGAGAAAGGGAGAAAGCTGTCAGAATCCTACTTTGATCCTTCAAAGTACATGGATTTTCATCTGCCTTGGTTTCTCTCTTTATAAACTCAAGGCTTGGAAGCCTTCTCTGTTGGTGATGTGGCAGTCCTGTTCTGTTGTGGTTTTTGTACATCCTGATAGACGAGCAAATCTCTTGCACCAACCTCAAGGCTGTGCCCTTCCCTCAGCCATCCCAGTGTGGCCATGTGCTCATGTATCTGAGGTGCTCCCTCCTTACAGGCAGCCGAGTTACGGACTTCACAAACAGAGCAGTGCCAGGCTTCACAGCCTCACGTTTCTGAGAATTACCCTACCATAAAGGCATGTCCTGTGTACGCTGCACGTCCCTTGTCTCTGAGATAACCTGGAGCTGAACTGTGTGATGAGATTATTTTCTAATGAGAACATCCGTGCTCTCGGTTTGGGCACAAAATCAAGTCTGAGTATGGGGCTGCCCAGCCCTGCCCGTGCCCCCTTCAGCAGGGGAAAGAGCAGTTAGATTTGTTTAGTGGCAGTAACAGGGTCATGTTGGTGCGGGGAACCTGAATGACACAAGTCCCAGACTGGCAGACATGGACATTGCTCTGCTTGACCTCAGTGTCACTGAGCCACCTGAGCATCGACCTACACACAGGGAGCACAGGGCCCAGCTTGGGTCCCCAGGTGTGTGCTGTGGTTGAGGTGATGCTGGGGATATGGGGGAAGGGGCACATGGGGAGAGCAGGGCAGAGCTCCAGGGACTGGGAGAGAAAATGGGTACCCCACTCTAACTTGTTCCCTCTGCTCTTTTAGGAACCTGCCCAGAGCCCACAGCTCACAGAGCCAATAGGAGACAAAAGTGGTGCATCCCAAAACTGTCAGGGACTGAGTTCATAGAATCACACAGTTGTTAAGGTTGGAAAATCAGTAACTAAGTCCCACCCTACCATGCCCATTGACCACATCCTTCAGTGCCACATCTCCATGGTTCTGGAACACCTCCAGGGGTGGGGACTCCCCCACTCCCTGGGCTGCTGTACCAACAATTTACCACTCCTTTTGAGAAGTTCTTTCTCATATTTGATCTGAACCTCCCCTGGCACAAAACTGACCATCCCCTCTTGTCCTATTGCTGTTGGGAGCAGAGGCCAACCCCCATCTTGCCACAACCTCCTTTCAGATCATTGTAGAGAGCAGTGAAGTCTCCCCAGGCCTCCTTTTCTCCAGACTGAACCATCCCAGGTCCCTCAGCCTCCCCTCATCATGTTCCATACCCTTCACAGCTCTCTTGTCCTTCCCTGGATCCCTTTGGGAAGGGATTTGGGGTCAAGGCAGGCAGGGAGCTGCCTGTCTATGGGATGCTACAGCTCATCAAAATCTTTCAACAGCAGCTTGGATCCATCCAACCCCCACACCCTGGAGAGGCCCAGGGAGTTCTCTGAGAGGCCCAACACACCCTTACAGAGCACAAGCGATGCTCCGGTCCTGCCCTGAGGAGGGCTCCCAGTATGAGCCCTGTAGAGATCGGGGCACAATTGGGATTTATCCAGCTGGGTCAGGGCTGGAACCACCGCAGGCGCTGACGGAGAAAATATTTTGTGTTCCCACAGTGAGTGATCCCACTGCAAGGGTTTTATTGAGCAAGAAGAAATGCTTACGCTGAAAAATCCGAGCCTTGGCCAAGGCACAACTAAAACGGAGAGAACGCTTAGGAAACATTTATTAAACCCTGAGGACCTTTACATGCCATGAGTGAGTGTCCCAGTGCGTGGAGCTTTAATTAATTTCTTTGTGCATTGATGATCTTTGTTTTATTAGCTTGTGTTTTTGAAAAGTCACCTATTGGGTAGCAGAGGTGCCAGGGACGTTTGAAGGTGGTTAAAATAAACCAGCCCAATGGGGTGAGAGAGCAGGATGATCTGAAAGGAGGATGGGGCAGGCATTCTGCTTTTATTTGGGATTTTTGCTCTTCCTTGAGCAGAGGACTAGGCTGCTCCCAGCTGGGCAGCGTACTGATGGCATTGCTGCTGCTCTGCTGTGAATCCTATGCTTTACCCTCCTTTAAGGGCAGTCTTCCCCCACTCCCCACTGCGTGGTGTGAGCCCCACAGAAATGCTGAAGAAAATCTGGTGCTTCTCTATAGGGCCAGGCAAAAAAATTCATTATTCATTTATAAAAAAAAAAACACAAAACAACACCCAAAGCATCTGCTGATGGAGGGGTCCTGGGGCCAAAACCTTCCTCCACTACCAGACCCTGGGGACAGCAGTGGGTGGCGTGTTGGTCCTCAGTTGGTCTGGGCTTTTTCTTCTTAAAAGAGATAGACTTAAAGCTCAGCTCGGGTGCTGTTCCCTCAGCTTGGTCAGTTTTCTCCCAAAGTTTTGTCCGGAGCCATGCAGTGCTGTCCTCAAACAAAAGGTGACACTTTGCTGTCCTCAGGCATTGATCAGCCTGTGCTGGGGGGGGGTCTGGGCTGGGAGCAGCCCCGAGAATTGGATTTGCCTGCATGTAACCCGGGGGGTCCAGACTGGCAGGGAGCGTCAGTCGGCTCCTCTCTTTGTAAGGCATGGTGGTTGTTTTTGTGGTTTGTGTGTTTGTTTGTTTGTTCCATTCAAATTCATCCAAAAAGGTTCTTTTTCCCCATTTGCATTGTTCACCGATTTCCTTAGAAACCTCGGTGGAACGCAGCAATTAAAGCCCCTTTGGCACAAAGCAGTGGAGGTGAAGGAAAGGAGAAGGAAGCATAGAAACCCAAAGGGATTTCAACCGCTTCCTCCTATCAATCTGTCCCTTCCTGCTGCCAACACAAACACCTGTGGGCCCCGTCCCACACACAGTGACACTGGGGGACCCGCAGACCAAGCCAATCCCAACACCCCACCCTGTGTTCTGTGGCTGTGGGTGCTTTGAAGAGCCCAGAGTGGCTCCATAGACCAACCCAGCCCCGAAATATCCCACTGCTGAAGCGTCTTCCTGCTTGTTCTCTGCTTTTAGGACTTTTCCCATCCCCTTTCCCCACCTTTCTCTGTGGCACTGGGAGCTGAAGTGCTCCCTGTAAGGAGAATTGAGCTGGTGGCACCCATAGGGAGCAATAGGAAATGCAGAGCCCCGGTGGCAGCGGGTGCAGGGAGGGCAGTCTTGAGTGCTGAGCTCTTTGCTGGTGCCTCAGCACAGCCCAGGAGTTAATCATTAAAATGTGCCTGTGTGTAACTACTCTCCACAGGACAACGAACTGAGAAATTATTTAACACCATTTAAATGGGTCATAGCAGTCACTATAATAACTGTGCCTGGAGCCAATGGGAGCCATCGGGCTGCTATAAAAGTGGGTGGGGAGGAGCAGCGCTGAGCACCCAAAGGCTGGGTGCTGCCCTATGGAGAGATCCCAGCCCTTGTAGGGCTCTGCACCCACCCTCTGTGCTGACATTGAAGGGCAGGGGTCTGGGGGCTGCTGCTGCTGCTAATGGGATCCGGAATTTGAGTGGAAAAAGGTGAAACTCAGCAGCGTGGTGAGTGAGGACGCTCAGCCGAGGGGATGTGCAGGGTGTGAGCATGGAGCACGTGTGGGTATGTAATATATCTGTACATAGAGCACACAGCTTTGGTGAGCCACGTGTTGGGGGTTGGGTTTCGGAGTGCTGGTACCATTCTGTCAGTTGTGTCTTGGTGCTGGAGTGGCCAACTGTGGGCTGGGGAGCCCTGAGTGCCCCACATCCCATATGTATATGCTCAAATTTTGTGCATATTGTTATGTGGATATTTAGTTATATAAATGCATTTATACATATTGAAATATCAAAATACTTGTTACATCCTATGTTCAAATTAACAGGTTTATATATCTGCCTAAATGTGTGCATTTAAAGTGCACTGAAGTGCCTAAAATATTCCAATATAGCTGTGCATGTGTAAGCATATAATCATACATGTGTACCTATATATTATATACACACATACCAGCGTGTGTACACACATATATATATGCACTTATTCATGTGCAGGAGCAGGAGGAGAGCAGTGTGTGTTACAGCCCCCCAGCCCCACAGCTCCCTATGGGTGCCCATCTCCTTTCCCCAGGGATGTCCCACTGCACCGGGTGCTGCTTTGTGTCTGAAAAGGCCTTTGGGGGAAAAAATGATTGACAGAGCCTATGTGGGACATGGCTGTGTTTGCTGTTCTGCCCGTGTTTGCCATGCACTGTTCCTGACCTTGGCCTGGGGGCTGTGCTGCTTCCAAATGTGCTCAGGATGCGGGGAACTGACAACAAAAAATGGTTTCCCCCCTTCCCTCCCCCAGTAGCTTTCTGGTAGCACCAGGAGCTGATCTTTAGCCACTGTGAATGGGGAGAATCTGCTGCCAGGATGGGATCCTTCCTGTGGGGCCCAGCACAGGACCCCATTTTTTCTTCCTGTGTTTTTTTCAGGACTCTCAGCACAGCACAGGTTTGGGTTTGAAACCACAGTGGTGCGGGAGCCTCTCTGTGCTCAAGCTCATGGCCAGGGCTCAGCGCTGGAAACCCTCAGCCTGACATAAGCAGCACTTTGGCAGCAGGATTTGGAATTGGGGGTTGTTTGTATTTTGTTTTAGGATGGTTGGGAGCCTCTCCTGCACCTCCTCGCACCGCTCTCCAGACACAGATGAGATCATTGCTGTCTCGCTGACATCTCAAGTGCTCCAGCAGATAATTCATGGCTGCAACACACGGTGTAGGGCTCTGCTTTGCAAACCTCTGAGCACCTCCTGCCATTAAACAGGAGTCAATCCCCCAGCAAACAGCTCTGCCCCATTGCACGGAGAGTGCTGAGTGCCCTGCAGAGACTTATTTCCTGGGTCAGTGTCACGAGATGTGCCAAGCATCCCTGTGCAGCAGAGCTCCGTGTGCTGCTTGCAGCCAGGCTCCCTGCAATATTGGACTTTATTTCTTATTTTATTTCAGAGGAAACCCAGAAGGGAGGAGGGAGCTGGGCTCTGCTTTGCTCTCAGCTGTTCCCGAGTGCTCAGCCTGCACACATCCTCGTGCCACATCGACAGCTTTCTGTGAGCCAGGAGCACGGGAAGGTGCCCAGAAATGTGAGAGAGGAGCGCTCAGCTCCTGCTCTGAGTGGAAAAACTGTGCCTGTGGTGTGTGAAGGAGGGGGGAGGGAGGGCCGGTGCCCACCGGGAGCCCCGAGGATGCTGCAGCTCCTGTGCTCTCACAGCTGGGGAACAAATCTTGCTATGAAATGAATACAGCACAATGGCTTCTGCAGGCAGCGGGAAGGTCAGCTGTTGGTTGTCACATGCAGAAATGTGATGAGGGATGGGATGAGGGGTGGGATGATGGAGCCAACCATCGTCCTGAAGGGTTGATGAAGGCTCTGTGCTGAGCTGCAGGGAGAGGCAGACATCCGTGCCCCAAATTCCAGCAATGGGCTGCAATGCGACTGGAGTGATGCTCACAGCTGGGGATCCGTGCCACTGTGTGCTGGGTCGGGGTGGTGGGATGTGGGGAAATACCATTTCTGGGTCCCCAATCAAGGCACCGGTCCAGTGCTCCCAGCTTTGACAGCCAGCTGCCAAATCCATCCTTTCTACCTACGCAGAGTGAAACCTGTTGCAATTTGTAAGAGCAGCTCAGCTCCAGCTGTGCACCGGACAGGAGGGATGCCGGGCAGGGCTGCATCCCACTCCTTCCCTTGTGCTTCCTTTAGGATCAGAAAGGCCTTTTATAGGGCATGGGAAGCTGAGAGCCCACAGTCCCGTTGTGCAACTGCTGTGGAGGCATTCGAGGAAATAGAAAAACATCTGCAGTGCTGCCAGGACACAGCAAAGGCAGCGAGTGCAGCTCCAGAGCAGGGAACAAGCTGTGCAGAGAAGGAAATTCTTTGCATTCTTAGCAATAGGAAGGTGGGATTGGAGTAGAACACCGAGTGAGTGCCAAGGTATCAGGAACACACTTCTTGCTTTTAACCATTGTGCTCATGTTGTGCTCAGGGATGTTTTTGGAGTGGATTTAATCTGTCAAAAAGAAGCATTGTGCTGGATGTGAAGGGAGGGAAGCAAAGCACTGCCATGTTTCTGAGGCAGATCCCTGCTCATGGCTCAGGGCAGCAGTGCTGGTGCTGTAGCCATGTGCAGCTCCTGATCTTCCTTTCCATATTTGCTCCCTGGGCACTGTGCGGGGGCTGCGGACTGCAGCCTGCAGATGGATCCGTGTGAGTCACGGCTTAAAGCCATGAAAGAAAGAAAACAAACCAACATCAATAAAGCGATCTGAAGCCATAAAACCCAACCAATAAAGCGATCTAAAAAGCACTGCTTTATGGATCGAGGCAGTCTTAGTGGAAATGGGACGCAGTGTTTCAGCCATAAATCATCTGTCCAGACACAACGGGCAGCGCACGGCCTTTATCACCTGAGCAGAGAAACAGGAGAGGGATTTTGGCACCTGGAGGGATTTTCACACCTGGAAGCACCTGGAGGCTTCAGGGATGCTCAGAGGTGACAAAGCCCCACTGGTTGCCTCTGTTTTGTCCCCATTGGAAATGGGCAATGAGCCCCACTTTTTGGGAACACATTTTGGGGCCCCCTGCAGTGCGTGATGGGCAATGCATTTAGGATGTTTGCACCTACATGGCTGATTTCTGACATATAAGAAGCAGGCAGCATTCAGCAGGCAGCTCTGTCCTTAGAAGGCTCCTTAGAAGGCCCAGATGCTCCGCTATTTTTCAGGGAAATCGCTGTGCATCTGTGGGGTTTGAGCACAGAGCGTG